GTTCAAATGCAATTTGTGCATAGCTTTGGGGGCAAAAAAAAAATTTGAATAACTGATAATGAGCGTGAAAGCAGATATTTAGTCCTTCATAAAAACATCTTAACAATTTTGTTTAGAAAACTAACTTATTAGAGACCTTTCATTTTTCTACTAAATGAATATAATACCTGAAGTATTTCAGAATCTAACTTCTCTGAGATTCTTTGCAGGAACATGTTATTCTTGCACAGTGTATTGCAAGATTTGAGGACAAAAAGAATAATCTGTTTATAGTAAGTAATGTTTCAACTGTTTCTGTTCTTTTTTTAGGACACTGGTGTGGGCAAATCAAGTATCGTGTGGAGATTTGTAGAAGATAGCTTTGATCCCAACATCAACCCAACAATAGGGTAAGAAACTAAAGTGACTTATCAATAATAAAACCAAATTGTATGAATATATATTTGTACCTCCTGAATAGATCACTTGAGGATTCTCCATGTGTGGTAGCTAAATGTGGTAATAAACATGACTGTAGCCTTAATTAGCTCATGAGCTACCTTGGGAAACATAGTGTATTCGGCACTCCTGCAGCTTCCATTTTCATGTGTAAGATCTGCACCCATTTTGTATTGTTAATCTAAACTAACAAAATCCTGCTAGGAGTTTTGGGTTATGAATAAATTACACTATAGATGCTTCTGTTGAAGGAACAACATGCTTTTCTCATGCACTACTCTTAAATTTCAAAGTCTAATTATTATGCAACTACATGATTATTTAAGTTGTGTTTTTTTTTTTTGTCAAGTACAGAAGAAGTCTTCTAGGTTTTTGAAGGTAGTTAATATTAATTCAGGTTGTAGTTCTCCTCATGAATTAGTTCTAATGTTATAGATCTATATGCAATACACACATGCGTAAGTAACTGATGAAATTGTTAATGCAATTGGTCTTCCCTCAGAGTAGCAATGTTACTGAGCTCAAATCTTCAAATGGATAGAAGGAAGGGCAAGCATCAGGAATTCTTGGGAGTGATTGGATCTTTTTATTTCTTTTGCTGTCTTTTTGCTTTGCAAGTATTTTATGGGCTGCTTTGCTCAGAAGTAATGCTTTACTTATAGGGGGACATGACTTTACTTGATGCTGAGGAGTGTGTGTGTGGGGGGTGTCAGTGCAACTTCCTGTCTCAGGTGTCACAGAGGTTCTACTACAGCTTTGACCAGAAAAGATCCTGCTGATAAAGATCAGCTGTGTTGCATCCTGTCCTTCTAAAAAAATGTGGTTCCTATGAGATCTCTCTCTCTTCCCCCCTATGCCCCCTGCCTCTTTTTTTGAGTGTAAATACTGGTATCAAATTGCAAGATATTCTGCAGGAAGTATGCTTTTGTTTAAATTTCCCTATTAACAAAGGTAGCCTTTGAGATAGATTGCTAAGTAGTTTTCTTAGATCTTCAAGGGTTGAACATTCTTAGTTACTGTCAGATTAGCTACAGTAGAGGTTCTTTTTTGGAGGACCACGAAACTGATGTGTGGATAGTAGTCATATTGCTGTTTGCTTAAGTAGGGGAGCAAGCTGTCTTAAATATTTAAGTTCAGGTTGTATAGAAATTTCAGACCTACTGCCCATGGTGATATCAAGTGCAAGCAAAACTACTTCTTCAGGTGGACACTATTGAAAGATCCAGTTGTTTTTCTTATTACCTGAGGTGTTTGAGAAATTGGTTATCCGTCTTCATTTCTGGTCATGTAGATACTTTAAAATCAGAGTCTGTTAAATAGTTGGCTAATAAGGGTAGTATCTACAGTGGCCCAAAGTTAGCCATTGTGTTCATGCATGCAGTTCCTGGGGGAGGAGAAAAAAAAAAAAGATATTAAAATCTGCTTATCTAGTAGGTTACCAGGTATGGTAACACAGACTTAGGTTTTGCAAACGTGAGAGGTGCCTATTTATTTAGCTGGGATGCTCTGTTCTATACTTAGACGTATGTCACCACACATCTAGACTACATGAGTTAAACGTTTGAGTAACCCAGTATGGAATTTGCATTATGTCTCCAATCACGTGAACTGCAGCCTCCTCAAGTCTGCTTTCAGATTTTAAATTCTAAAATACTGTGCTTGATGGTTTTAGGCTCTGCATGTCTGCAAGACTGTCTAAGGCTGCAGAGCAAAGATTGTGGTCTGTGATGCTTCTATCCTGGCAAAGTAGAATTTTCTATAATCTGGAGAAAACTCAGGAGTGGGTTTTGTGGTGGTGTTTTGTTGGTTGTTTTTTTCTTTCCTCCCAGGGAAGGGCTGAGACTGGAATGAACTTCATCAAATCTTGTTGTATTCCCTCCAAAGTCAGTTTCTTTTAATCTGGTAGTTTTCTGACTGTGTGGTGTGTGGGTTGATTTCTTTTTTTTTCTTTTTTTTTTTTTTTTTTCCCCTCCCTCCAATGTAGCACTATCTGTTTGAGGGCAGGAACCCAAAGAGATCACATGCACGTGTCTTCCCAGGGGAATGTGGTAGCAGATACTGTGTAGTAATTTAAGGTGCTGTTAGAAGATGCTAGCCGTTGTGGTAATGAGACTAATGTGTAGAATAGAATTTGTCTTCATGGGTTTAATGACAGTACTGCGATTAGTATACTTTCTTGAAGTGACAGACTAAAAATCTGTATCTTTTAGCAGTCTTAACAAAATCATTCATTGGCTGAGGACTTGGTATCTTGGTAGTTCGCTGTAGTAGTATAAATGAATCAAAGCTTGCCCAAATGCAGGGATTGTGTGAGGCTCCAATAAGATACAGTCCCAAAATGTTAAGCAAATTTTTGAAACTTTTTCTAGACCTTGTCTTTATTTTCTAATTGAGACTAGGAGGTGGAAAGAACAAAGTAAGAATTAGAGGGGAGATTTGAGCATCTTACAAAACTAAAGCTGAGAACATTTCTACGTTTGCTCCTGGGGTTTTGAGTTCGTGAGATACAATCTCATGTTTCCTGTGCTGTTTCCATTCCTCTTAGAATTATCTGAGCAATCATACTTTGTTGTCATGAATGTTCATCGTTCAGGTTCAAACGTGGGTAGCCGTAGAAACCCTGTTAGAATTCTGCAACTTTTGTCCTCTCAGGATGCTAGGACACATTCTGCTTTGCCTGACCAGCATATATCCCTAGGTACTGCATAATATCTAGTCTTTCATTATAGTGTCAAAAAGAAATTATGAATGAGTATAAAACTTGTTTCAGGTGCATCTTGTTCATGTAGTTACAGTGCTTGCTTGGCTGGGAGAAGCAGCTAGGAAATTTAGTAGGGATAATGCCTGTTTTCTTACTAGAAGTCCTGGAGCATAGCTCTAGTTTGGAGGATTTTGTTGACCCAAAGGTGGTTTGTCTTTGAGCTGTTTGTTCTCTCTTTTCTTTTGTTTTTAAATTGATGTCTGTCACAATGAAAGCTTTTATTTGTCAAAGAATTTCAAGTAGCATTTAACCTCTATTGTCAGCTACCATTTGGTATGTTTAGTTGTGATGTGAATTAGAGCAACACAGCTGTTCAGTTCAAATGACTGTACGGGAATGTTTTGGTTTATAGAACCAAGTAAGACAAATTTTCAGTGAGAATCTATGATTTAGGAAATCGTTTCCATATTGGCCAGAGAATTCAGAATTGATGCTTAATTTGCAGCAGTCTTAAGGAGGTGGAAGTCTTTGCTGTGCTTTACAACAGGTACTCCTATGGCTTTATTTTCTGTAACTCATTGCTAAAATACATCATCTAGTTAACTGTGTTGAAATGCATTGCAGTTACGCTCTTTTTAGGGATGCTGCAACCTTATATTTGGCTTCTTAAGCGTAATCAACTTTGGAGATTGATGTATTATTTGGCAAACCATCTGAGCTTAAGGAACCGGGGAGGAGGTTACCTCTTAATAGTGGAAAGTGTTGTGTAATTGCTCCCTTTCTTTACTTTGAATGTAGATTTTGTTTTGTCCTCCTATAACATTGAAACATGTCCAAAGACTCCAGTTACATTAACTACAAAAGTGTCATGGACATCATTAAAATCTATGCCCTGGTGGTACTTAAGATCCAAAATAAACTGAAGTTCAGAGTCTTGGACTCTGGTATTTAATGTTGTTGATCATGCTGAAAGTTTTTCTCTGACTCTGAATCTACAGCAAGCTTAGTGTACTGTAAGAAGCTCCAGTACAGGCCACCTCCAGGATCCTATCCTGCATCCTGTCCAAAACTGACAATAGAACAAGTTTGGAAGTCTGCGGTATTTTCAAGTGACAGGAATTAAGCATACAAAAGGCGTTCAAGATCATAATGTAGGATCTTGTATGCTTAAAATAATTATGGCATCTATAGTTCCTATTCTACAAGGATTTGAATTCAGTACGTGGCTTTTCTAGTGAAAAATGTGCCTACAGGTAATAGATATAGCAAAGAACTCCCTCTTGTAAAAGATTAGGTCTCAGAATTCCTGTTCTTGTGGGAAATACACTGATTCATGTAAAGCAGATCAAGTAAAGCACAGAAGTACTTTACAATATTTTGCAATATTTAACTGTAAAACATCTAAAAGTTGGGGGGGGGCAGCTGGAGCATAGGAAAGAATTATTTTGTTTGTCTTCTGGAAGTGCAAGAGCCACTGCAGACTGAAGTATATAATGACAGGCAAGATTTGGGAGCTGTACAGAGTGCAGTCAACAAGCAAGTTACTCATTATTGATATCTCTGTCCTCTTAACACCTGCCAATAGTGATACGAATCTCCCACATTTTATTCCCAAGTATGGATTTACCAGCGTTTATCTGAATGTTAGTACAGAGATAGAAAAAGCTGATGCAAAGGGAAAAAGGATTTGATCTCTTTCTCTCTGGAAGTTTCCGGTATACACTTAAGTGATTTGCTGTGATGATTCCTTCACTTAGGAAGAATGTTGTTAAAAAAGCTGATCTTTCTGATTTTTTTGGTCATACATCCTTTATTTTTATCAAAAGCTTATGAACAATAAAAACTTATAATTTGCATTCGTGTTCCTTCTGTTTTGTTTGTTGAATTTCATCCTCTGAAAGGAAATTTCATCCTCTGAGGCCCTTTGCCTTTATTCAATTATTATTGAATTTTATTATTATTCAATTATTGTCGAATTATTACTAATTTCAGCCTTTATGTATGAAAATCTTTATCAGTTTTGTGTGTGTGTGAAAGCACTTTTACTGGAATGTAAACCTTTTTAAAAGTTCATGGTGGTAATATTCTAAGAACGTATTTATATTCTGAAAGCGTAAGCTGTAATTGTTTTCCAGAGCCTCATTTATGACCAAGACTGTACAGTATCAAAATGAGCTGCATAAATTCCTAATTTGGGATACAGCTGGACAGGAGCGGGTAAGTAGAATCAGTATCTGTGGTGATAGTTCTGGCTTGAGTTTGGGTTGCTTTTCAGCCCCACCCCTGAAAGGCACAATGGGATCTGCTTTTACGAATTATCTGTTAGAATGTTTGTTTCTGTGGAGGTTTCTATCAAGATATGGGTGCTGTAAATATGTTTTCATTTTTCATTGTTATCATGGTTAAAGTACAAAGTTAAGGATGATTACCTAAGAAGAGGAGCTTATAAAACAAAAGACTGGGTTTTGAGTCACTGAAAGGGAGTGCCATTTCAAAAGAAAACAAGGCGGGGGGGGGGGAAGCCAGCAGCTGTCCCTAGCACCATTTCTATAGCTGAGTTTTAAACGTTCAACTACAGTGTTTGCAGACAGTGCAACTGGCAACATGAGAATCCAAGTGAAATGAATGATCATGTTTCATAGTACAAGTAAGGCCCTGGCTCTGGAAAAATATACAACTGCTAATGCATTCTGTTAGCTTCAGTGTTAAAGTTACTAATATGAGTAGGATATGGGCTTAGGCATTCAAAAGCAGTGTTTTAAGCACTGTTATGGGTGATAACTGATCTTTTATTTTTTTGTAAAGTTTTACTTCTCAAATCCGATAGTGTTAGAAGCCATGTCAAGAAATCCATTTTGAAATTTAAATTTTAATTTGGTAGTTTGGGGGGTTGATCTCTGCAGCATGCATAGTTCTGAGGGGAGGCAACAAAAGCCTTCAAGAAAATGACTAGTCAAATGAAATCACAATTAATTGGCATGATTTTTACTTAGAATTTAAAAGGAAAACTTTGCTAGTTAACTTGCTTGTTTATGGATTACTAGTAACAGTGATAGAGATTATAGTAGCTATATCAACAGTGCTTATTCTTGCAGTTTCTTTGCTGTTAACTACTGGCAACTGTCAGTTACTCATGATGAGTTTATTTAGGATATGAGCTAACTGTAACAAAAGCAGACACCAGAGCTGTCTCCAGTAAGAGTCAGTTTGATCAGGTTGGGTTATTACTTTAGGGTAATAACTGGCAAATGCGGCTGTACTATTTTTCAGGATTGGCTCAAGAAACAGCCCAAGAAGAAAACAACAACAACAAAAAAAACCCAAATTAAACAAAACCTCCCACTGCTACCAACAAAAACAAACAAACAAAACAAACCCCAACCTTGTAAAGGCTCAGTCATCCCTGTGCAGCGGCACTTGACCTTTTGGAGTCCTAGTGGAACTGACTTGCTAGCTTTTTAGCTTGATAACAGCCTTGATGGCTAGAAAGTAACTCAACTATATTTGTATTGCATTTCACTGCTCTAGATTTTGAATGACAATTTATTTCCTTCCAGCAGCACCATATAAAGCAAACTTATGTTGTCAGGGATATGTCCAATTGTATCCATATTATCAGAAATATCTGAGTCCTTCCATTACTAGCAGTCAGTCAACATTTGCTATAATTTGTCTTAAGTGAATGTCCTAGCCCATTCTGAAAAGTTAATGCTGGAATGTGAGTCTTCTGAGAGGTAGAGTATGAATTTTAAGAGGCTGGTTCTCTTAAATAGAAAGCTTTATAAACATGCCTGCCACAACTTGGCAGGAAACATCCATTACATATTAGCATTCCATCCTGTTCACTTTAACTGTGTTTGCAAGCAATGGGAGAACGCCCTAATTCGGATTCAGCGCACTACAATCTGAGGAAGCATCTCTGTACATGACTAGCATGTTCCTTGTCTTTCTGTTTTTAGACTTTGAGTGACACACCTTTAATTTTCTTCCATACAAGTTGAATGATACCTTTTATTGAAATCAAAAAAGGAAAGATGTCTTACCTGGGCTCTGACCCAAGAGCTGTGATATCTGTGAAGCTTATGTTCCACACCTGAGAGAAGTCACTGTGAGGCCCCGATATATCCCAGGAAACCAGTGAAATGGGAGCAAGGATATTTACTTTGAAATTATGCCAGTATCTTCATAGATGTTTCTTTCTCCAAAACAGAACAGCACTGTCGCTTACTGCTAGCCACAAATGGTCTGTATACCTGCCTTGCCCTGAAATCTGTAGCACAGTTTTCTGGTCGTGCAAAACATCTGACAATGAATTATTGAAGGGATCCTATCCCTGGTGATCTGGAATACCAAAAACGTCCACACCATTCTTGAAACTAAAATGTCTGTGCTTAGCTATGATGTGTAATGCACAGAATTGGTAGTCCTGGCTTCTTGAGGAGCATTTGCTATTTTCCACTTCAAAAGCCCAGCAGCGAATAGTTCTACGCTGCACTGGGCAACCCCTTGTTCTAACTGGCTTCAGGGAGTGGCTGGCTAGCTTCACTCCAAAGGTGGAAATGCGCACTAATTCACATAGCTCATTTCCCTACGCACATATGCCTTATTTCTTCTCTCATTTCTTCTACGCTGAGTAAAGTTGATAGGAGATTACTTCTTACCTAACAATTGTGACAGTTTCTCTGCATAATTACATGACGTCTTCTTAATAATTCTGTCAAAACACACATCGGAGGCTGGAGGGCAAGCTGAAGTCTTTGGAAAAATAGTGAAAGGAAAATTCAGTGTTTCTGGTAACATCTGTTTTGTTAATGTATTTTATCTGCTGACTGCTCTTAGGTGGAAAAAAGTGTCTAAGTGTTAGCAGGCAGGAAATGAGAGTAATACAAAATCAGCAAGTGAAAGTTGGTTTATTCCCAATGTAAATAGTCAAATAATCAAAAAGCCAGGTTGCAACCAGTCCAAGTGGTGGTTTACCAAATACGTTTCCCTTTACGTTTTAGTACTTAGGAGGAAGAGAGGGATTATGTCCCAACATGAACTGAATGCCTGCCCATGTTTCCCTTTCCCACTATTAAATATTTTTATATTCTGAACTTTGTGTTCAAAATCCTGTTTTCAAAACAGAATTTGAGAGCCAGATGTAAATGGTCTGGAATTCTGCTTTATAGCAAGATTTTTATGATTTATAATATTGCTCTCAGTTGAACTGTACTAAGCAAAAGGAAATTGGTATTTTATTAGAACCAAATAAGCCTTTATGAAAAACTGTATTCTACTCATGATTTTTACCCTGAGTAATAAGATGTACAAAAGCTCCAAATCACATATACTTACATCAAAGCAGTACATGCAGTTTACTGTGTGCTTTGACCGAGAGATTTGGTTGCTAGATTAGTTGTCTGGTTCTTTTTAAGTTAGCAGAATATCACACTGTTTTTAAGAATGCTCGATTGATATTTTTGATGCAATTTAATCATGTCCTCTATCACTCTTTTCAGTCCTGGATTCATAACACCTTGTCCATGCAAAGGTCCAGGCCTGGTTTATACCCTGCAAATGCACTACCAACCAAATATGCCTGCTGTAGATTTAATTCTGAAAATTGCAATAAAATTACCATAGCCTTTTACTATCTAGCATGTTCCTTAAAGCTCTGTTTGCAACAGGTCACATAGTTGTGGGCTTCTGCAGTTTTTAGTTTTAAACATGCTTCTAACTTTTTGAGGAAAAACTTAAGTGAAATTGCTAAAGCCATAAGTTAGATTGCGAAGAAACCAACGGTTCTAGCATTTAGAAGTGCCATGACTGATCCATGGGGCTAGAGGTTGACACCAACTTCCGAACATTTCAGATCAGCAGTAATATATGCTAGTTTTCTTGAAATTACTTGTTGTCCAAAAGCATGAGTGTCTTAAAGAGGAAGAAGCGAGTTCAATTTTAGCTATTTTCCCCTCGGTGTTTAAATTTGAGCATATATGCTGTGGGTTTGTGTCTGTGTATAATCTACGATCTTCTAAACGATTCTAATCTAGTCAAAATAAGGTTAAGTTTGGCTTCCTGCTTTTTGCAGTAGGTGTGCTGCTGATCCCTAAACTATTTATTGGTTGGCCTTTGTAAAACAATACTTTCATGGAAGTTTATGTACTGTACTGCACAGCCTCTCTGTAATTGTAAACAAAAGTTTTCCACTAATGTGAACTTTAAAGCTAGTTTTCACTTTCTTCAGTAATAATAATAAGGAAATCATGGAGGTCAGCGGAAGATCAGATTCATAATGTATGGTGTCTTTCTTTCAGTTTCGTGCTTTAGCCCCAATGTATTACAGAGGGTCAGCAGCAGCCATTATAGTGTATGACATCACAAAAGAGGTAAGAAATTTGATCTTGACCCAGCATTACGATTTCTGGGATTTTTTGTGTGATGGGCCAGTTCTGAGTCTTAATTCCTTCTGTGTTTTTTTTTTTTTTTTTTCTTTTTTCCCACATCAGGAAACTTTCTCAACATTAAAGAACTGGGTTAAAGAGCTTCGACAACATGGACCTCCAAACATTGTTGTAGCTATTGCAGGAAATAAGTGTGATCTTAATGATGTAAGGTAAATAACCGTTGACAGTTTGGAGGTTTTCACTTAAGCTTATAGTGCTAAATATTTTAAGATTTCAGAGCAGGTGAAAGGTATAGAGCAATTTAAGCTGTCTTGCACTAGCGTTGTAGTTTCACAAGGGGTCTGAGCTGTTTCTACTGTCAGAAGATTTGGTTAGTCTGCCCTTGCACAGTCTTGCCCACTTCTTCCCCTGTATTGGTGTGAGTATGTGTGTGATTGGGCAGTAAATCGGGCAGTAAAATGGATCCAGATTAAAACTAACCATTTAAAAAATGGAAAACTGATCCAAGTGTATTTATCTTGCTCACACCATGAACGCTTGCTGGCATGACGGAGGTGGGATAGCAGGGTTAGGAATGAGCAGTTTACAGGGAGACAGGATTACCTTCTCTGGTGGCAGTGCCAAGTTACACAAGCCTAAACTGCCTGTGAAACTACAGTGTAATACAAGCTGTTTACCTCGCTTTATAAGAAGTACCCCTGTCAGTCTGCAGCACCTCATTTTGTTAGGAAAAACGTCGAGCCTGTTTGGAAGCATCGTGTAGGTTTTTCTGACTTGCTTGTTCAGGTGCCTTCCTTCCCTGCTTAAATATTGGGGTGGAATTGGCTGTGGCTGAAATAGTTGTAGGGAGCGGGAAAAGTTCTTGAGAAACTTTATGAACAGCCAAACTTTCAAGAAGGCATGTACTAAAAACAAAAGAAGCCTTTTTTTAATTGATGTCCTGGTTAAATAAGCCAAAATTCAGAAACAAGGTGTGTGCAAACTTCTTGTTTTTAGATTTCATTGGAAAAGGTACCGCAGCTGATGTCTCAAATGAGGCAGATGGTTATGTGTTTAAAGAACCACTGCAAAGTTGGTTCTTAGTATGGTTTTACAAATTGTTAATATATAGCAGTTATCTAGTGAGCTCTAATAACTTCTGTTAGAAGTAGCATATATCTTGAAGGCAATATGGCATAAAATTATTTAGAAGACAAATATAAGGTGTGCAGTATTAAGTCTCACACGCTTATTTCTTGGTGCTTAGGTGGCATCATAAGTTATGTCAACATTGCTATTCAAGCTAATGAGCAAGATTCCTCGTACTTTAGTCAGAGGCAATATTTGAGTCACTGATCCGAAGTCTGTGCTTTTGATATCTTAAGTCCCTTGTTACTAAAAGTAGCCCATGTTTTCTAGAAATTGTATGTAAAGTGATCAATGTATAGTCCAGTCCTCTCCACCTGTGGGGGTTTAGTTTTTCCACGTTGTTTAAGGAAGTGTGCTTCATTACCAACTTGCCTACTTAGAGGTGCAGAATAACTTTTTCACTTTTTGGCTCTGTTGTTGTGTCTAAATATGTTTCTGTTCATAGCTATGTCTTCATGCTTCATGTAAAGTAAATGCTACGCTAATGATCTGTGCAGTGTTGTGAGATACTTGGTTTTGTAAACAGCTGTAGGAAATCCACTGGATTAGTGGAACTAATGCTTTAGGATCTTTTCAGTACATCTAAAACTGTTCTGTGTGTGAAGAATAAAGCACCCCCTAATGATTGATTGCAGACCTACACTTAGAGCACTCAAGAAACAAACTCCACTGTAATGTTGTCAGATGGATTAAGGCCTTGTTTAGTTTCTGATTGTGCTTCAGTGATGCTCATAACTCAAGGCAGGGAGGCAGCATAGAGTAAAGAATGAGCATCAACTTCAGGATGAGGGAGAACTGTGATCCCAAACAGGTAAAATACAAAATACTAATTTAATGAGACACTTAAAAGCTTAATCTGTCACTTAAGATTTTGAATAACGTGGGTTTTTTGCATTCACAGTTTTTTCTTTGCTTTGTTTTTCCAGAGAAGTCATGGAAAAAGATGCTAAAGACTATGCAGATTCCATTCATGCAATATTTGTAGAGACAAGTGCGAAAAATGCAATAAACATTAATGAACTCTTTATAGAAATTAGTAAGTATTTAAACAGTTAATGTGCTTTCTTCTGAAAGAAGTTCAAGTAGAAATTTGATTACTGTATTAGTTTTTGTGCTATTTAGGTGAGAGTATACTGACTTAAATTTGTTACAGTCAGACATGAATACAAACTGCAGAATGAACTGTATAAATTTTTGGCCACCTAATGACCTCTAAATATTCCTTCTAGAGATTTTAAGCCTACTGTGATGCTGCTGAATAAATAGCAAGCAGGGCACTCATCTCAGAAGTCGGTGTCATCTTACTGTATCTGTTACTGAATGTTTCAATTAGTACTTCCAAGGTTATGGAAGCGAAAGGAAATGGCATGAGGAAGATCCAAACTTTATACAGCTGAGAAAAGGAATTAAGTTCTCACTCTTAGTGTTTGTACTTAGTATAAAACAGTGCATTTTCAAAAATACGGGAGTTTATAAATGCCAGATTACTGCCTAGGAAATAGCAATTATTGTGTGTAGATTTTCCACAAATATTTTTCTGATACCTTGTGGTTTTTTAATTAAATTGCAAATGTTTTCTGTCTCATTCATGGCGGGGACGACAATGACAATTTTTTGTGTGAATGAAAAGCAGACAGTATTCCAAAGTGAATTCCATGTAATATTATTTGCAGGATATGTTTCAGACAGCAGCACCAATGTGCAGGTATGTCAGCCTGTTTGTGAAAAGAAGACAAACAGCAATCCATTTGTGTGTGTGTGCACACTGCAGTTTAGCTTTGAATAACTACAGAAGCATTAGACTTAAGAAAAAAAAAAGGCTCCTTTATAAGCTGGTGTAAAAAGTATGTGCTGTAGATTAGCTTCCTGATTTACTGACTTAATAGTTGCTCTCTAAAATTGATCTTGAATAAACTATCCAAAAAAAAAATCATAAATCCTCCTCAGAAAGGAATACTCAACCAGGAACAGTCAATTTTAAAGACTGATCAGATGACTAAAGCAGCTGTCTTTACAAGCACTTCTGTGCTAAGCCTGATGCAGGTGATCTGCTGTGGAAATACAGGTCAAGATGGTAGTTCTCAATGCAGATATTCCAGATGGTATTGGACCCTGCAGAGTATATTCTCTGGGTGCTTTTATAGCTTAGCTCTCCAAATCTAGATTAGACTGAAGTGTAAACGCTGCAAAATTAGCTTAAAAACTACTTCCACTCTTCTTTTGTGGAACCATACCTCTTACAGGCATAGTATAGACTGTTAACCGCCGTCCTTCTCTTATGCAGGAATGTTACCATTAATGACATATGACTAATTGAAGACACATTTTTTGTATACAAAACATACACTGAATGCTTAGAATTAGTTTCAAGTACAATGTTTGCTGTAAATTTTTTTTTCTGCCTCCTTGTAGGTCGCAGAATTCCATCAACTGACACCAACCCCCCGTCTAGTGGTAAGGGCTTCAAACTTAGAAGACAGCCATCGGTGACAAAGCGCAGCTGCTGTTGACTGATCCCTTAGAAAATCAGACTTGTTTATACAGTAGGTGGTCTTGGAAGTTAATAGTTCACGTTGGGTTTATATTATCAGTCTTAGATCTTTATCTGCTGGTGTTCATACACCCGAGGTCCCACAAAAATGGACCAGTTGATCTGACATCTGTACACTCGCAGAAAAGACTGCAATCGTAATGTCAGCCTGTTTACTTACAAAAAGTGTAGTATCTCTTGCATTCAAAGGGAATCCATCATCACTTTTTTTGCCTTGCTTGAAAGGAAGATGGCTATATGGATGGTAGAACTGAAATGTTTAATAGTTTTGTAATCAAGATTTTAGGAGGTTTTTTTGTAAAAAGGGAAATGAGCACTTTTGTGGGACTTAGGGGTGGGAGGAGTCTGGAAGTTAGACATCACTTCTTCCTTTTCTTCAGTGAGCCTTATTTTAAATTTAATTGTAGCTAATCCAAAGTACGATGGGACAGTTGATGTGAAGTGGCTACAGAATAAGCGACTGAAGACAAATAATAAGCAAATCAGTCCATCCAGTCCCCAAATCCCATTTGCACTTTTTATTTAAGGATGATATGCGCCGGGGGTGGGGACACAAGCAACAGATCTTAAACCACAGACAATCTTTTTTTCATGCTGACTTTAATCACTTTAAGGCAAACTGATACGCTTATAGGCATCTTTTTGTTCCTACAAGGTTTTTAGTATTAAGATGTTGGTTGAAGAAAACCTAGTTGTAGTTCTGACTAAATTAAGTGGTTACTGACTAAAAACAGATGCTGTAAACAGATGCTGCCAGTGGTTCTGATAAGACCTAAAAGGTTTTGGGGAAAGCTTTTAATTGCTTGGCATGTGTAAAGTGTTCATATTATATTTATGAGACCAGTGTTTAAAGTATTATAAATTATGTAAAAACAGTAAAAAATAATGCAATCTTATACACTCCTTCCATTCCACACCTATGGATAAACTCCTGGGGAATCTCCATCAGGATTTTTCCTGCGTTTTAGGTATTGTCACTGTGAGTTCATCCAGAGGCAGACTGAAATTCTTTCTCATTCAATCACATTTGAAAGGGCCAATAGAGGATGCTGTTGGTGCAGCATGAGGTCTGTCTGTTGAACAAGTTTTCATCTGTGATGCACCCAGTCTTTCCTGTTTTGGGCACAAAAATACAAGTAGGAAGTAATCTTAAGACATGTGGTAATGTAGATCATTACCTCTTGGTTCCTGGGCTTTTTCATCTGTGAGGGTTTTCAGTGAATCAGTGTTTAGCTTATTCTGTGTTGGTTTTAGTATGCTTCCAATTAAACTATAGGTTGACCTACCCATTTATGCTATTTTATTTATTTTTACTTTTTGTTTCCTACCAGCACTAGTGAGAAACTTTATACTTTCGAAGAAAAAGAGCTTAATAGACTTGAGTATATACTAAAAAATGCTGTTTAGGTTTAGTATCAAAATGAGGTCATGTTGATGATGCTTATTCTTTCTTTGTAATCTGGTTTTCTGTCATCTCAAGTATTTTTTATGAAGGAAATGTAGAAAAGCTTGTAAGAAACTTAGTGAAAGTTCTTGTAGAGCTATTCTGGAGCAAAACAGGTGAACTATTACAGTGAGATTTTGAATGGGTCAGTATGTTTTCATGAAATTTGGTGACTACATTTCTATCACACCTTTTACTTACCCTGCATTGTCAATTATGCCTTCCTTGCCACAGTTGTACAGGCTACGTGCTTATAGAGAGCCCAAGAAGCATATCTTCATCAAACGAATGCTGTTTGAAGCACCTTTGAAACATTGGTCCTTAACAAAGCATCTCATAGTAGAGACAGATTTGTGTTTGGTGTTCAGCTTGATGTATGATATATTTTTTTTTTAAGTCACTCAAATAAATTATGAACAGAAAACTTTAGTACTCCTACAAAATGCTTGATGGAAATATAATTAGTGAAGAAAGAACAGAGTAAGCCTGCTCTTGGGTATATTTTTAATTATAAAAAAGCAGGTTAGCAATTAAATGTAGAACTTTCACAGTGGCAGTCATGGAAGTCCCTAATTTCTTTGAAATATCTCAATTCTTACTCCTGGCAAATTTTTAAAAAATAAATTGTGTGGTTATCTAATTCAACTAGGTTTTTAAAACATTTTGTGTTCACAGTGCTTCAGAAGTCTATTCTATACCAAGATACCAGGTGCTTTAGTATCTTAACTGTGATAAAGAAAATACTGCTTATAATAAAGTTGGTTAGTACTAAATCTGGAAATTCTTGAACTTGGAAAGATCATAGTAGGAGAAGGAAAGTCTCAGATATTGGGAATATCTTTCATGTAGATTAGTAGAAAAAGGAATTTCAGACTTTCTAAATTACTGTTATTGCCTGCTAGCATGTGGTAAAAATGGAGTTTAAATCTGTTTTTCAGTGAGATAACAAAAATTGTTTAGTAGCATTTATCCAAGATTTATTGACTTGAGAAGAAAATATTGGACTCAGGCAAGACTGAGAGCTAGGCTAGTATTGAGATTATTGTAGTTCTCTCCAGTCGGGGAGAGATCCATCTATCTTAGCAAATCCTTATGAACTGTTTTCTGATCTATCCTCACTTACTTGCTACACCAAAATTATAATTTAAAAACAAACAAACAAAAAATGCCTACCCCAAACCACTAAAGCAGCAGCAACATTCTGGCCCTTCTCAAATGTAGCTAAGTCTTAATACCTCAGTCTCCTTTTGTTTTGTTACCAATCTGAGTGGAATGCCAGCACACTTCATATCCTTTTTGCAGTTCTGATCTTAATCTTGCAGTACTGTTGTTAATGAAAACATGGAAATAGCCAGTGTTTCAGATTGTCCAAACTACAAACACTGAAGTGAGGCTGCTTTTTAACACATGCCTATTTAAAATGACAGACTGTTGATGTAAGTTCTTTTGAACCAAGATAACTGTTTATTGATCAGTTGGCCGTAGCTGAAAGCCGGAATGCAGTCTTCCTGGATGAGATGCACATGTTCATTGTTTCATTTTTGTTGGAGAAAAATGGTTTCTTCTGTATTAATAATTTGTTAGGCCATCTGTTTTCATCTTGCACTAGGCTTGCTGAAATTGATTATATTTTGTCTTAACATAGCTTCTCTATTTGGAGATACATTAGCCTTTCAGTGTTTGGAGTGCTGATGATCAGCCATTCCAGCTAAATTTTTAATAACTTTCTTTTCTGTTAAGTTGTTGAAAAAGCTCAGGACTGAAGTTTTATTCCTCTATGCCTTTCTGTTTAATGAATGGAGCTCATCATAGACAGATACTCTCAAAAGGAATTAATTGCTGCAAAGCAAGTTTGGAAGGGTGAAGTATCATGTATGTAAAAATATGACATGCACCTCATTACATCATTGATCCAGAGCATTTTTTAACTGACAAAATATGACTATTTCAACTTCTAAACAGCACCAATTCTTTCTCATGAAAGTTACAGATTTGTACAAAAATATAATTTGACAGATGTTTAGTTCTTAAGCTTTGGAGCAACTTAAATGTGTTCCCCATGTTTTGGAGGGTGTCTTCATCCAACCCTCTAAATTACAATAGCCTCTTAGCTGACTTGCCAGGCTCTTGATCTGTGCTGTAGGTAGTTTTGTAGTATATTTTTAAATACATGCTGAAAACTGGCATACTAAATGCCTAAGTAGGTGAAATCTGGAAGCTTATGTTTAATAACAGAAGCATCTAGTGGTCAAACTACTGAAAATTGTAATAGGTGCTTTGAAAAGTTCTAAGACAATTCTAACAACTTTTGCTGTTGCCAAGAAGGTAAAGGCTTCATTTATGTTACTAGATCCGTGTTGAAATAAAACAAACCATTGCACTTCAAATCCCTACTGACATCAGTGAGACCCTTCCTCTAAGTGGTACAGGGTCAGACAGTTAATAGTTTAGAGGGGCATTTTATGCAGACTTGAGTCTTTGATGTGTTGGTGTACAGAATACCAATTTAATGCTACCAACCTGCTCAAGAAAGATTATTTACATGCTTGGGAAGAGAGTAAGAGGAGAGGAGACAATGCCTACTTACTGATTTGGAAGTCTAATTCGTTAACCTGGTTGAGAGGTGTGGGATTCATTGGGGGTTCTCTACATTCATGGTTAAAGCTTCATTTTAATTATCAAAAAATAATTCAGGCTGAATATCTTGAATAATTTAAAAGTTGGCCTCAGTAAGATTTTTGTTACAATGTAAATCCTGAATTATTCTGTAAAATTACTGTTAATTTCCAGTATAACATATTGAGTATTAGTTGGAAAAGGAAGCTTTATCAGTGATATTTGAATTACTTTCTTGTGAAAGTCTTTAGTGTTTGTTAAGGATGGTGTAGTCTATTTGTGGTGTGCTATGTCAGCAATCTGCAAAGACTATCTTTGGAATTGATGATTTACAGGACAGAAGCTGTCTGAACTGTGTAGCTAGTCACCCTGTAGCAAACCTCACTTACAAGCAGCAATAGCTACATAGAAGTAGAAGAAATGATCTCAAACATGGGGAGAATCTGAATAATTCACTGACTTAGACTTCTGTACTGCCTATTAATTTTCTAAAAAGCTTCATGTATCTTTAAACCTCTCAAAAAAGAGACTCTTCTGTTCATGGACAAGAGACAAGGACAAACTTTCTTAACTTTTTTAGCAGGAAGTTGTTTTACAGTGACCTGAGACTATTTGTATGCTACGAGTCAGTTACTTGAAGGAGAATTGTGTGCTTGGAACTAAGCTTCTAAAAAATCTGCACAAAATTCTCTAAAGAAAACTATTAAAATTTTATGTTCAGAATCACATTCCTAGTAACAGATCACAGCCTTAGTAATGGTAGGTGACAGAAGATTTATAGAAATAAGATGTTGGTGTGAATTACCAATCTAAGATAGAAATACAGGTTCTAGTATAAAAAAAAGTCATGTCAGCTGTCCTCTTCACAGTCATGTGGCT